GACCGCTTCAAGGAAATCAAGAAGCGCCTGGGATTGCTGTGCATCCAGGCCCAGAAGAACCTGAACGAGGAGAAGGCTGCTATTTGGTTCACGCCGGAAGAGCTCAAGGGTGTACCCGAGGACGACATCAACATTGCTGACCTCGAGAAGGGCACTGGCGAGAATGAGGGTAAAGTCAAGTTGACTTTCAAGTATACTCACTTCTTCCCTTTCATGAAGTATGCCCAAGACGGCGAAGCAAGACACCGATACACCATCGCCGACGCCAATAAGGTAAGTTCCATTCGTGCTGAATTCGAAAGCCTTCCAATGATGTTTTTGGAATGCTAATTGCCCTCAAAGGTCAGCCAAAACGTACCTATTTTCCAGGAGATTTTCGAGCTTCGTGACGAGGCAGCCCGGCTCCTCGGATATCCCGATCATGCAAGCGTTGTGATTGAGGAAAAGATGGCAAAGACCCCGGCCAAGGTGAAGGAATTCTTGAATGATCTCCGCGTCCGCCTGGCCCCAGGTGGCAAGAAGGAAGTCGCTAAGCTTCTGGAATACAAGAAGAAGGACTATGAAGCGCGGGGTCTAGATTTTGATGGTAACTTTTATATGTGGGACACCTCCTACTACTCTCGCCTCCAAAAAGAGCAGGAGTACAGCGTCGATGAGGTCAAGATTTCCCAGTTTTTCCCCGTTGACTCAACCTTCAAGGGGATGCTGAAGATCTTCGAAGAAATTCTCGGTCTTTTTTTCGTTGAGGTTACTAAGGAGGATGCGGCACGCCTTAGCAAGACTGGCAAGGCTGAGGACATCATCTGGCATGAAGATGTAAAGCTGTATGCAGTCTGGAACGACGAAGCAAGCGGTGGTGAGTTTGTGGGTTACCTCTATATCGATCTCCACCCTCGTGACAACAAGTACGGCCACAACGCCAACTTTGGCATCGAACCGGGTTATACCAAGAAAGATGGAACCCGAAGCTACCCCTCCACCGCTTTGGTTTGCAACTTCAGCAAGCCCAGCCCTACCAAGCCATCATTGCTGAAGCACAATGAGGTTGTGACACTCTTCCATGAACTTGGCCACGGTATCCACGACTTGGTTGCTCGCACACGATACAGTTACTTCCACGGAACATCGGTTGTGGATGATTTTGTCGAGGCGCCCTCTCAGATGCTCGAGAATTGGTGCTGGACACCAAGTGTCCTCAAGTCGCTGTCCCGTCACTGGCAGACGAACGAACAGATCTCGGACGAGCTGGTCGATAAGCTAATTGCTAGCAAGAACCTCAACTCCGCCATTTTCAACCTCGCACAGCTGTTGATCGGCCTTTTTGATATGACTGTCCATTCGCCAGAATCCCACCAGGCCGCCAAGGATCTGGATGCCGGAAAGCTCTGGAATACTCTCCGCGGTGAAATCTCTGGCATCAAGGGACCTGAGGATGTGGGCGAGGGAATGTAAGTCAATACCTAACACGGGATTATTTAGCGTATTGTGATTTTGCTAACACTATGTAGTAAGTGGGGTAGCCGGTATGCCCATATCGGCCACTTTGTTGGTGGGTATGATGCTGGCTACTATGGATATCTCTGGTCTGAAGTGTTCTCGACGGACATGTTCGCCACCTTTTTCGAGAAGAACCCGATGGACCCAGCCCAGGGTCGCCGATACCGGAAAATTGTGCTGGAGAAGGGCGGCAGGGAGGATGAGATGGGCTTCCTCACCGAGTTCCTTGGCCGGGCGCCCAGCACTGAGGCATTCTACAAGGAGCTGGGTCTGGCCTAGTTCTACAGCAACACGGCACAGCTTTACAGGAGAATGTATAAAGTTAAACAAGTGTCTTGTTAGAGTTTACAATTAGGACTTGGCCCCTCGATTATAGGAGAAATCCGGTATGATAAGGGAATAAAAGAAGGATTTTAGAGACACTCTTGAACTGTACACTACGAGAGAATATGGCTGACTCTATCTCAAAGATGAGCATTGTTGTTATTCCCAGCTAGTTACGGACAACACCATCGATTGAGAAATATACTCGTAAGCTACCTGCGGCTATAGAATGCAATATAAAATGGAGCCTGGATAGAAGAGTAAACGGGCAAGTGTAACCAACTGACGTGATTCGAATCATGACAGATCATAGCCATGAAAGCATCATGCTTCTTAGCATACTGGGAATCGGGGAAAGTGTGAAGTGGGAACAAGAAGATACCTATTGGTAAGCAACGTGCTGCTCTGTGTTCTGGTACGCGGCTGGAACGGTGATCTTGTTCATGCCAGAGTCACGAGGTCTGTGGTAAGGAAAGGGGAAGGAAGGGTGGGACAGGTTTCCGAGAATGAGGATGCGCTTTCAGCCAGCATCCTTTTTGTAAATCCGTGCATATCTGGCGGAGTGTGTGTGACATGGGCGCAATTCGCGGGTTGGAGTGACGGAGCGCCATGATCAGCCCATGGGATGGAGGGTCGAGTTCGGAGCTGAGCACATGGTGTCCAATGTGTATCCGGGGTGGAGCAGGGAAGTGAAAGATGTGGCTTCGGGAGGAAAAAACAAGGAATCGTGTAATAGTTTTTCTTAATTGGGGGAGACTGGCATGCTGTGGTGATTGTGTTCTGCCTGAGTGGTTGGGTGTGTTCGAGGTGGGCGCAGTCTGACCGTGAGGGAACGAAGGGACAAATCCCGCAGCGGGAAATGGGGCGCATGAGGCAAGATGGGAGAATCAGAATGAATTCTGGGGAAATTGATGGGAGTACTGGGGTCGATGTATAGGCAAATTAGTGAAATAACCATGGCATTCAAAACCGTGCCCGTAGCCCCTGAGTTGTGAATATGAACTCTTGTCTCTCAATTGAGAGCTCTGCCTTCGAGCATGAAAAACTCAAAACATTTTGTACCGTGACTACCCAGATGGTCCCTTTAATCTTATTGTGTTCTTGTTATTCTCTCAGGATATCATATCTACATAAGCATGCGGTATGATCTCGCCCACCTGACAGGGTAAATTGAGCTTTGTCCAGCCTACACAGGGATTATCTACCCATGTTACAACGCCCCGGAGGATAAAGATATTGCGGGATGGAATAGATCAGATGAGCTCGGCGGCCGACTTTGGCTCTAATATCACCACACCGCCTGCTGGGTTGGTTGAACACGAGTGACTCGGGATGAGACTCGAAGGCAGCACGGAGGCGGGTTATTAAAATGAACTTCTTGGTGAAATCATTGGACTGCGGCGAGCCATCTAAAAAGATCTTCTGTCTTCCAGATCTTTTGCTCGGAGGGTTCATCGCCTGTGATCCTCGTTCAGGATCCTTCCGAGGCCGCAACCTCTATCTTCTGGTGGAACACCACGCCACGCGACCCGGAGCTGAGGGGCTCTACCGGCGATCCATTTGATTGGCGGCTCTGTTGTACGATATAGATCATCCTGCTTCATTCGCCGTTGTGTTTGTTGGATATTCGGAGTTGGATGATTGCTTCGGCAACCTCCTCTCTCAAAGTCAGGTTTCTATCGCTCTACTCTTCTCCAACGCCACTGAATGTCCGTATTTCAATGGTCCGATCCTAGCTTTCTTATTGAGCTTAATATAAATCCGACCTAGGGAAGGGGAACCCTGACCAAATCATGTTGTACAGGGTCACCTGCATGTCGGTCACCAGCATGTCTCGGAGTAGGTTCTTCTTGCGATTGGTAGCTGAGATGAGGAGTTAGGCCATTTCGATCCATCTAAAACACGTCAAGGATAGCGGCAGCAAAAAGAGATGCTATATTGAGCGATCGAAGTTGAACTAGCAAACTGCCAACAGCCTTGCATGTGCGGCGTCAGACGAGTTTCACGGACCATTCCCATGGGGATGGGAGCCAAACAGTGGCTGGTTGAAGTCGGCCTGCACATTAGTAAGGTATATAGAGCTCGAATGCACCTCGATAATACGAGCTACTTTGGTACACATCTCCCTACCAGACATCATACCCATACCCGGCTCGGAGAGGATGGAAAAGGCAACCTAGGCAGCTCGTTCTCGTGCGACGTGCTTAGTCTGACGCACTCTTCAGCTGACCGACAGAAAGGGAAAATGAGTTTCGTCGTACTTGGTCTTTGCTCTCATGCACACGTGTTTTAAGTTACACGACATGTAGGTTGGGCTAGGAGGGACAGCCTCCTATGGAGATAATTATGTATGAGTGGCCTGTTTTGCGTTGAGGAGGGCCAACGTCAGCGCCTCACCACGCGGCACTGCAACCTCAGATGCAGTGTCCGTCACAGTGATGTATATTTCCCTTCCTCACGACACATCCTGTGTGCCGTTCTGAGGTAGTGCGCTGCAGGAAGACGGATACAGGAGGCGGGTTGGTTTCGCGCTCCAGATCGGCAACAGGATGATATGCGTGTCCCAGGGCCGGGCTTGGCGAGAAATAGTCATCTGCGACATTCAGGTAACTCGACAAGGCTATCTGGTGGTTGAGGTTTTGATTAATCGGCGCAGTGACTTTTGTAGTTTCGAGGTAGCCTGACTTGCCTCGCTCGGCTGAGAGCTATGCGGCATGCATAAGTTCAAATATGATATCATGTAGGCCGGTACTTCAGATGAGGGATCTACGCTTTTGTAAATCCTCAACGTGATATTCGTTTGCTGTTCTCGCTTCAGAACCCGGTTGTCGGTGGCCGGGTGTGACGGTGGACTGCCACTTCCCTACATAACATCTTCTTCGCTTACCCATGTGGCCTTCTATTAATTGTCAGAAATATCCCCATCCACTGTACCTTTTTTTCTGTCAAATAAAAAATCATCAGAAAATTAGTCGTCTCGTGTTTGCCTGTTTCGTGGGCCCGGTCCTCTCTACATGCACCTTTGCCACTAGCAAAACATCTGACAGCAACTCAACGTTGTCACTGCAAGGAGCAGACCCCCATTGATTTATCATCTTGACTCATCTGGAGAAACTTGGATTCTGTCCCTGCCTCTTTCATCCAAAAAGGGCACTGTCAATCAACAGCACCGCATTATGATGAGCGACAGCGAGCTGAAGTCCTCCAATGAGGCGTTCTCGACCTTTGACCATGATGAGCAGAATGATCCGTACTGTGGAATGTCCGCAGAAGAGAGAGAGATAGAGGTAAACACCCCCCCTTGTTTTGATTCCAAAATCCGCTTTCGCTTCTTGGAATAGGGTCACTGATAGAATATAGGAGCGTAGACTTCTGTGGAAGCTGGATATTCAACTCATCCCATGGGTTAGTACATGCGCACTGGGGCGCTTCGCAGGCGACAGAATACACTCTCTCGTCTGATGAAGCCGTTCAACTAGCCGAGGGTCCAAGCTGACTGGCAGTAGCTTTGCCTGTTGTATTTGATATGCTTCCTTGATCGAACCAATATCGGAAACGCCAAGATAGCCCACCTTGCTGAGGACATCCCGATGACGACGAGCGAGTTCAATGCTACATTGACCATATTCTTTGTCGGATATGCTGCGTTTGAGGTTCTTGCCAACTTCCTTCTCAAAAGATTTCGACCGTCAATATTTATACCGTCTACAATGTGAGCAAGCAATTTACACTCTGGTACAGATCAAAGCTAACTTGTACATTTCTTCTTAACAGGGTTCTCTGGGGTGCCTGCATGCTGTCCATGGGTTTTGTGACCTCTTGGTCAGGCTTGATGGCAACTCGCTGGTGGCTTGGAGTCACGGAGGCTGGTCTGTTCCCTGGTGTCAACTACTATCTCTCCTGCTGGTACAAACGCAGCGAGTTCGGTGTCCGCGCTGCCATATTCTTCTCTGCAGCGGCCATAGCGGGTTCCTTTGGCGGCCTCTTGGCAGCGGCAATCCAGACTATGGACGGCGTGGCTAATTACGCTGGCTGGCGCTGGATCTTCATCATTGAGGGGGCCATCACCGTTGTAATTGGGATTGCGTCGTACTGGATGGTGCACGATTTCCCCGATGAAGCCAAGTTCCTGAACGAAGATGACCGAGCACGGGTGTTACTGCGGCTGAAGGAAGACAAGCAGAGCTCTGCGGAACACGAGGACTTCAAGATAGACTTCCTGTGGGCCGCTCTCAAGGACTGGAAGATGTACGTGGGAATGCTCATCTACATGGGGCCTCTCATGCCGCTTTACTCGTTCAGCCTCTTCCTGCCCACGATCATCCAGAACATGAGCTTCACGGGACCCGAGGATATTATCAAGAACCAGCTCCTGAGCGTGCCACCCTACGTTCTGGCGGCGCTCCTGACCGTCGTGGTCGGATTCTGGTCGGATAGGATACAGCGCCGGGGCATCTTCAACATCTGCTGCGCTCCCGTCAGCATCCTGGGCTTCGTCATGCTCATCTGCACGACGGACCCCATGGTACAGTACGCGGGGACGTTTCTAGGCGCGATGGGCATCTACCCGGCCATATCGCTCACCATTGCCTGGATAGCCAATAATGTAGAGGGGGTCTACAAGAGAGGCATTGTCCTGGGGTTCGTGATCGGATGGGGCAACTTGAATGGCGTGGTGAGCAGCAACATCTACTTCAACGCACCGCGGTTCTTCGAGGGCCACGCCGTCATCATCGCGTACCTGTTTATCTGTATCTTCGGAGGCAGTATCCTAATGACGGTACTACTATCTCGCGAGAACAGGAGACGTAGCAAGGGACTGAGAGATGAGTGGGTTGAGGGCAAGTCGGCTCAAGAGATCGAGACTCTTGGCGACAACCGTCCCGACTTTTTCTACACCCTCTGAAGCAAGAGAGACGTGAATTCCTTGAAACGTTAAAAAGAATACGAGTATCAGATTGTTGTTTTGCCTGGAGACTGGGGTTTTCACATAACCAAGGAGGGGATTGTTTGAAAAGCTTGACAGAAGGAAATACAGTTTTAGTCGGGGATGTATTGCAAAGGGGATGGATATATTGGCTTGATGCACAGACGCTTTCCTCTTCTTCGAAGCACATGTGGTCACGGCATGTGTGAGAATACTTACAATTACTATTCTCTAACAGGGCAGAGATTGGGCAGGGCTTTTTTGTCGGGGATAGATATCCAATTAATAGTTTCATCACTTGATCTTTGATGCCGATTACATGTTCAGAATAATAATCAACGAGAGAAAGAAACAAAAAAACACATTAGAGGAAGTGACAAACAGAAGAAACAGTAGAAGAAATAAGAAGAAAGAATTGAGATAGAAGAAAGATAGTAAGAAAGAAAAGATGGACTCTTAGGGTGTCTTTTCAAGAAGGATATGATAGAGTGGTTGGGGGAGGCTTCAATGACTTCCGTAAGTTTTCTCGCTTCTTTACCACTTTGACACCTTCTTTCTGCCCCAGCTTTTCCTTCTTCGAGCAGTAGTTGGGATTTGGCCTTCCCCCTTTGCCTTCATGGCTGAAGAAGCGAGTTCAACTACGGTTCTAGAAGAGGTATAAGCTCAATTTCCGCGCTTCGGGCTCGGTGGACAGGGTCAGAGGATCAGAGTATCAGGCACTTGTTCTCGAGCAAGCTTTCCCACCTCCACAGCTCTTCCTTGCCATTTTCGAGGAATTCTAGAGTGGTTTGAGGGCTCTCAGTCGGCGAAGATTGGACGTTGAACGTTTAAACACGGACACTGTCCTCTTAATGTGTCTCGACTCGGTCTGGGATCCCCTAGCTGTAATCCTAAATGGTGAGACGCTGCAATCATTTCTTGACATAGTGCCGGGCGGACACAATTATACAGGCACACAAGAGTTCATGATCTTTCCGATGGTTGGGTCGCTGAACGTAATTTTAAAATTTAAGACAGGTCAAGCCATACTGACCAAGGTAGGATCCAGGCAGTATTCTTGTGGTTCCAAGCACTTGTTCTTACCATGGGCTCGACACTGCGGTGAATTAAGACAAGGTACAATCTGACGGATTCACAAAGGAAGTGAGGCTAATTAGCTCCTCGAAGAGATGTATCATGAAAGCGCATATGAGATACTAGCTGCGATCACCAGTGATCTATTCATATTATGCCCCTTGCAGCCGGGGCGGCTGCCAGCCAATAACGGCACCAACATATGCCTAAAACCGCAATCGCCAACCCTTGCCCCTGTTCGCTGTGGGGGAGATGGAGGCACTGGGTCTGGTGTTAATGGTTTATAGCCGACTAATAGAGAGCCCCATCAGGATGTTGGTTTGAAAGATACTTGAGTTTGAACCAGTATGAATATTGCAGTTTCAATTATTTAGCCCATTGACGTTAAAGGGATCTAAAATCGCCCATTACTATCGATGTTGCATCTGCTACCACTTGTATATATGCAGGTGGGTATTTTGCGACTCTCTCCCAACGGCTTTGAGCCCTTTGCCGGTTTTCTGGTAGTGAGGATGCAGAGTTATTTGGCTAACTATGTTTGGGAGTACCGCATCTTGATCGATTCTTGCGGATTCCATTTCAAGTAGTGGACTATGATGTTGTTTCCCCTGTCAATGGTCAACATCACCGGAACAAGACAACCCGAAAAGGACCGGGTGTCTGGACGAAGAAAAGATTAAATGATCGAGGTTTGCATCAAATGCTGCAAATATTAGGCTTTTTGACCTGAAACAATGTCTGCTGTCGTGATGTCGCGCCTGAAATATCTTGTGTGACTTTGGTACATCCGGAGAGCGAGACAGGACAAGTTGGACGGACATGGTCATATCGGTGTTCGTACGCGATGAGGGTGATGTCCTATATACAAGTTCCCCGGCATGTCATCCAACAAGAACAATAGCCTCTATGGCGCAGTGGTTAGCGTGCTCGTGCGGTTTCCCTGTGATGTACTCACACTGAAGAGAAGACCGAATAGAGGTGTATCCCCCTCCTCCGTACGGTAAGTCAAGGGAACGAGTACATCACGGGGCCACGAGAGAGGACCTCGGTTCGAATCCGAGAAGAAACTTTTTTTTTCCTTTTTAATTTTTCTGCGGTTCGTTCTCTAAGCCCTCAGCTTCAAACAGCATCCTGAATGCTGGGGATATATGGCCTCTGGCTGTAACAACCATAGAGTCAGATCTCCCGATCCAGTTCCTACCTCCCCTATAAGCCTTCTGCCTATGTTAGAGTGGGTATGAAAGATATCACCCCGCCTGTTGATCTGTATTTATTTCGCATCATGGAGAGATCATAGTTGGCTGAGTGATTCAGTTTCCGTTGCACAGCCCGGAGAGCATTACACTTTACATAATCATAGAAGTGCACTACCTCGTGATTGGGCGTCATTAAAAGTCTTGGGCAATGCTTCAGCTGCTATGCAAACACAAGCGTTCGGCTGGTGGACTGCGTTGGGTCCAAGCTCCCTGCATGCTGCACTGGGCAAACTGCCTATCTGGGTGCGTCATGTACCGAGTGGAAATTTGTTTGTGTAACTGAGGGTGGACGCATCGATAGCTAGGTTTCTTCTTTGTTGCCAACCCAGCTGAGTTCGAGAGGGGGCACTTTGTTTGTCTGCTGCAGTGTTCAAGGCGGGAGCTGTGAGATGTAGGCATACAAATGTGTTTTGTTTTCGCCATTGGAATCGTGAGGAAACAACGGGCAAAAAAGAAGAGAGCTGTGGATAGAGATGTCGTGTGTTGTGTGACAATGATGTTTGTTTCGTGTGTGTGCACCGGCAGATCAGGAACAGACGGGCGAATAAGGCGACAGACAAGAAACTGGAAGGCACCTCACCGACTTCTTGACATTAGGTACCTAGGTATCTAAAGGGAAGCAGCATTACTGCCTAGAGCAGCAGCCAGCCGCGATGCAGATACGGAGGTCTGTTCCCAAGTCCATCACCACCACCGAACCAACCACAACAGATGCAGATGCGCGCATATGCCCAAGCAATAAACAATTTTCGTTGCGCACATCGTCTGACCGCATATTTAAGTTGCAGAGTCGACATCCCAGGCTTCTGATAGGACCGGGCTTCTAGCGTCGGCTACCTGCATATGAGGTGGTACAGAGTTTCGGCAGCTCGCCTCTCCTCGACCAAACGATTGCCTTCGTTCGACGGTCTGCAACATGTCTATGCATGTATTGGCCCATATCCACGACCTTGTTAGATTGTCTTTCCACCCCGCTCCGAGCCTAGACTCGTCGGCACAGGATCGAGTCTTGTTGGCGGGAGAGAGGAAGCCTCAACTGAGGGGTCCCCGTTCCCATCAGCAGCCACCGACAGCTCAGCCAGCATACATGTTCCCGGTCTCTTGTGCTTTCTTCTATATTGCTTTTAAGCATGAATCAGTTGATTCATGCTGTGTTCGTGCATCGAGTACAAGAACAAGACTCTGCCCTCCTCCCCACTCGCAGGTCCAGCTCCTGCTCCATCCATACTTCTATCCTCGTCTCTTCTCTTGACCACAGCTAACTCACACACATACATTTTTCTCATGATACGGTGCTTAATTACTGTGTCTTCTCCGCATCACCGAGCTCGCGCTCAGTGACTTGACTCGAGTTGCTTCTCGCGTATATATTTGCAAGCACATACGCAACCTTCTTAGCTTTCAGCTTGCGAGCCATGGACGCTCTCAGCACGGGCGTCGAGATGCCTACCATCGTGCCATCGACGAGCGTCCCGCCCACCAAGATCCTCCCCCAGATTCCTACCTCCGAGTACCCCAATATCCCAGCTAGCGAGCATATGACGCCGGGCCAGATGGTGACTTTGACCGTGCTCGAGCGTACTGGCGGCTGCATCAGTCTCGTCGCCACCATGGCCATCTTCGTGGCCTTTGCCTTGTTCCCGCGTGTGCGCAATGTGCAGAACACATTCATCGTCTTCGCGAGCGTTTCCAATGTTGGCGCCAGTATTGCAAGCGTCATTGCCATGGAAGGCTTGGCCATGGGGCGGAGCTCTGGGCTTTGTCAGGCTCAGGCGTTTATGTTTGAAATGTAAGTAGGCACACGCCGTTCTGCATATCTCTTCTCCTCGCTGAACAACGTGACACAGGTTCATGCAGTCTGATCCGTGGTGGTCTCTCGCCATGGCCATCAATGTCTTCCTCGTCTTCTTCTTCCGCGCCAAACCTGAAACCTTTCGAAAGTGGTGGTGGCTCTACTGTGTAATTTGTTACGGAGGCCCCTTTTGTATTGCCCTGGCTTTGCTGCTCGTGCGGAATCCCAGGCGGGGTTTGGTTTATGGCGAAGCAACTGTAAGAGCACCCTCCATATGCTCACTTCCAGCCGTGCCTGTACTGACAAGCTGAATAGATCTGGTGTTGGGTGGACCGGGCCTGGGACGACATTCGAATCTACACGTACTATATGCTCATCTGGATATGCATTGTTGGTTCGCTCATTCTGTACTTCCTAGTTGGCTTTCAGGTCTTCCAAGCGAGGAATCGTCTTCGCGATCTCTCCACCTCCAGGAGCCGAGACCCAGGGGCAGTCGAAGACGTGAGTTCCAGATTATTCATCCCCTTTCGTAAAATCTTCAACTACAAGCATCTCCTGACAGCCAAGGTGGTAAAGGCTACTCACGGCACCAACAAGCACCAGCTGTCCGACCTGCCCAATGAGGGCTTCTACGGAACCGTCATCACCGAAGTTCAGATCATTCGATCGGCCCCTTCCAGCTCGGGGAGCCCTTCAGAACCGAAGCCAGTCCACATAAACCACCCGCGGACCAACTCCACCGCCTCGTCAGGCCCCTGTGCTGCTGCTTCCTTTGGCATGCGAGACTACGACCGGGGCCGGGAAGGGGATTGCAATAACGAGCGACACCCCGCAGCACCAGGTCAGTTCTTCTCCACCGTGACGGGCCCAGACGAGCTGCCGCCCCATCTTCGCCGCAAGAAGAAGACTTGGACGTGGTCGATGTCGAGCATGATCAGCAGCTTTGTTATCGAGGACGAGATCAAGCGGGCCTATCTCCGGACGAGCTTCCTCTTCGCGTTGAGCGTGCTGGTTACCTGGATCCCAAGTAGTATGAATCGGATCCATAGCTGGCTGGCTGGTGAGTCCCCCTTTGAGTATCATGTAGCGACGGCGGCGGTTCTGCCTCTGCAGGGCCTCTGGAATGCCGTCATCTTCTTTGTCACGAGTAGCAGAGGGATCAAGAAGGGTTGGGTAGAGATGCGGGACCCAAGAGCGCGAGGTGATAGTATGAGCGTCAGCGCCAGTGGCGGCGGCGGTGGTAGGAAGGGGAGTGGATGCGGCGGAGGCATCACGGTGTCTGACCAGGAAGAAGGCACGGCGGGAGTGAGCAGGAGTATCTTGCGGGATGGCACTGAGAGGGACAGCAGTGATGCCGATGCATTGACGCTGGGGAGCGACATTGAGCTGCGTCGGATGACCGACCCGACAGAAAAGATGTCATCAAGTCTTTAGGTGCGAGGGGGGAGAGCTCTCTCCGTCTTGGTCTCTGGACCAGTTCGCCGCCGTAACATCTGATTTGTAGGATGTTGTGTAAAGACCAATGCGAGGGTGTTTGGACTAATGCATGATGGGATAGCGGACTCCCAGAATTAGGGTGAAAAGAGAATAGCAGCTGGAGGCTGACGACCATCAAATCGCAATTTCTTTTTCAATCAAAGACCTGTTGTCACAAATCGAGTGTCTAGATAGGCTAACCAGCCCCTTAATTCATGAAAGCAATCACAATCGCCTTGCCGGTTTGTGAGTCCTCCTGGATGGCGGACTTCTCCACTGCCAGAAGCAACTCGCTTACAGGGACAAGGAGTTCTGCCACCGACAGCAGTTAGCATAGGCTTGTACGGAACTTTAAACGAAGCGAGTTCTCCTGCTTACCTAGGTAGAGGATCTTGTAAGACATGGGAGGCAGGTCATCGGGGCCAGAGAGGACTGGCATCCGCTCCATGCCGCCCGGGGTCACCTCGAGCCTGACCCCGACCGTGCGCTTGGTGTCTGCCCAGATCAAGGTGCCCCTCTGGCCGTGCTCGTCTGCCTCCGTCGCCGCGGGGGGACTCGACAGCTCAGCGAGGGAGTCCCTCCACAGGCGGATGACGCCGTCGAATACGTTCACGTGGGTGAGGAAGTAGCCCTGCCGCGGGGATAGCCTGGAGACGTGGACCTTGGTGCACAGCTGGGTGAAGTGCTCATCCTCGTCGAGGTAGATGTCCTCGGTCACTGAGTCGTCTTCCTCCTCGTCAGTTGAGGAGGCGTTGCGGCGGCTGCGGCGGCGGCGTCTGGTGCGCCGCTCCTCCTCTGTGATGGTGGGACGGAGGGATGCGTACTGCTGCCTGTCAAGGAGGCTGAGGGGCGACGGCCTGGGCTCATCAGTGCTTTGGGGCAGATCTTTGACCCCGAGGAAGTGGCACGCGAGGGACGGGGTGGTTAGCCTGGCGCTGGGGTGGTAGCATTCAAAGACGAGCTCGTGGCCGGGGAGGGTGGTGGCCTCGAGGAGGCGGCGGCGGATGGTTTCGGCGACGATGGAGTGGAAGCGGCGGCTGGTGCAGGCGATGGGGATGAGCTCTTTTGTTAGGAAGTTGGTCAAGGTGAGGGAGAGGATCTAGTGGCTGGGTTAATGTGTATAGATTCATGAAAGGTAGGGGGGATCTGACTTCATTTGGAAGATCTTGGACTGAGGTGCTGGGGGCCGTTGGAGACATGGTGAGATTGGGATGGTGTCTAGTAAATGGTGTAGATGAATGAGAGAGGGAAACGTGGGATGAATCTGATTCTCCTTGAGTGTAAAATGATCATCGCCTGGATTGACTCTACCAATTGCTATCTGTTGACTTGTTCAAGAACCCCAACTTTTGTGGAACCCACACTCCGGGGATGCGGAACAAGGGATTCCCTCAGATTGGCTTATTATTGGATGATAGATAGCGTTGTCTGGTTATCTTGATGACAGAGCACATCGGCGGATACATCTTGAGCGAACCTTGCTGCTTCTGGTTGTACGTAGCTGACACATTGACTATTACTTTGTATGACGGAATATATCGACAT